CATTAGCAGAGCATTGTGGAAAAGTGACCCCGGTGCAGGCTCTTGTCCCTGAGCTGCCTTAGCTGGCACAGGGCCACTGCTGGGGGACCGGCTGTACTGACCGGGGTCACTGCTCCTGCCGGGGTCCCCTCTGGCCTTGGCCACTCGCCTCTGCCCCTGTCATGGGCTCTGTTTGGGCTGAAGTCTCTTGATCAGGTAAAACATACTTTTGAACTTCAAATCCAACAGATGTTTCTGATAAAAAATGTGTTTTCCAGATGCTATGAAAATGTAGTGAAAAAACCTGTATTTTTTTGGTGGGAAAAAGGGGAAGCTCCATGTGGAGGAGGCATCTGGCAGCATGGCACACGAGGCCTTACCCTGCTCAGCCCTGCTCAGCTCCCTGCACACAGCACCCACAGGGACCAGCCTACCTGAGACTACCACTGCAAATTGTCGGTGCAATGATCCTGGCGAGAAAGAAAGCGCTCTAGTTATGAATTTAGGTTTTGATCATCACAGTTGTAAGCCTGTTGTGGAATAAAGTGGTGGCAGCATATGAAAACCTCCAGAGAGACATCAGACAAACTTATTTTTGCCTTTTGAAAGCCCCTTGTATCAGTGATCTCATCAGTAAAGGCCCAGACATGTTACACAACCTGCTCCAGAGGACAGAACTGGGTCCCCCGTTTCCAGAGCCGAGTTAAAATTAGATTGCCACCTTTGGGAACCCTCTCCAGAAGTTAGTGCTGTATTCCACACAACCTCAGCTGGAGACAACAAAGAGATTCTTGGCCTGACAATTACTCCAACAATGTACCTTCACGCGACTGTTTCCCTCAAACAGCTCCTGTAGACATCTGCTTCCTTGCAAGGGGCTCCTGGCAGGGTTGTGGCCCAGGGAAGAGCTGTCCCACCCTGCTGAACGCTGCTGCTGTGCTCAGGGAACTCTCAGATCACATTTGGAATGGCTGGGGGAAAATACGTCCAAAGCCAAACACACACGAATGCTACTCCCCTTCCAATTCCTTGTACACCCTTTTCAATTAAAATGAATTTTAATGCTACAGGAAGCAGCAAGAGCTTTGCCCACTGAAGCTCTCCTGCTCCTTCAGGATCTGCCTCCTAAAGGACCTTGCTGCTTCCTGCAGAACGGGGCTGGGGCAGATTGCAGAGTTCAACTCCTGGCACTGAGGCGTCTCAAAGGCACAGTTTGTCATGGAGAGGCTCTTCAGCAGCACAGAAGAGAAACCCAGGTTTTGTATGACCCAGCAGCACCTGGACACAGCAGGGACAGGAAGGGGCTGCAGGAGGGAATAGTGGGAAAGGGGAGCTGGGGCAAGGGCCAAAGACCAGAAATAAAGGTAATAATAGAGCACATTGGTTTTCACCCCAATCTACAAAGGAGCCAGAACTGGCAGGTGTGTCCTGCCAGGATTTGTGTCCAACAGAACTCTGCAAACCTGGAAGGGACTGGGAGCCCAGCCCAGGCTGTACAGCTTCCTCCAGCTGCTGTCAAACTGAGCCTTGACTGGCCCCCATCTCCTCCCACACCCATTTACCTGCTTAATGCACTCTGTTCCAGAGCACTGGGGCACCTGGAAGATTTCTCTCTCAGCTCTGACCTAAACCAAACCTGCACACACATTACACACACATGAATGCCCCTTCACACACCCACTTCCCGCCAAAGAAGTGATAATGCTCTTTTTCTGAGAGTTGTCATTTTTTTTGAATGGTTCTCCTTCCAATTTATTTCAGTTAGAATTTTGTCTTTTCTAAATCTTGAACCATTCCATACTATAACTTTATTGCAAAAAAAGTCAACATGCATCTTAGAAATTTGGCTTGTAATCAATAAAACAAACATTACATATATGAATTTTAATGTGTAAACAATTAGAAATTCAACAATATCTGCTATTATCCTATTACACAAGTTCACAATCTGTAAAAACTATAGTACAAGGTTACTATACACCAAGAGGAGCTTTGTTCCTTTTCACATGATTTTGCTAAGTGGTGCTTTCCTAAGCAGGTGCCTAGTTCTGTATTAGAGGTGGTTTTGTTTATTTTTGCTCAGGTTAATTCAGCACAGAAAGGGAGGGAATTCTTTGCAGTGACTTCCTTTCCCCATCCCCTCATCCTTCAGTGCCTGGCCCCAGCTCAGGCTGGTACACATGGCTGGGGCACACAGGGACCCCCGAGGGCTGTTTTGTGTACAGGTCAGTTTCCCAGTAAAGCACCACCATGAAATGAACTCAGCTGTCCTGCCCTGCTGCCTCTGGAAACACAGAAATCCAAGCCAAAGCACCCCAAGACAGGCCCAGCAAGCCCTGAAATACAGGGGGGTGCCCAAGCTCTGGCAGAAGGCAGGGCAGTGGCACAGAGCTCCTCTCCTCCTCCTCCTCTGCCCCCGGTGCAGCCAGCCCGGGGGCACAGCCAGCCCTGGGGTGGCACCTGGCACTGTGGCACCTGCCAGGGGCACTGAGGGCACACTGCAATGGGATGCAGCTCTCAGAGATGGCCCTCGCTGCCTCACCTGACACAGGTGCCACCCCAGTGCCACTTGGAGCTAAAACCATATGAAAAGGAATCCATTCTGTGTGTGTCGAAGGCTACCGCAATTTCTCTTACAGCTTAATTAATCCACTGTAAATTTCATTTTCCAAATACAAAAATACAACAATTCTTATTGAAATCTATACGCCGGTAATTTTAGTACACAAAAAAGCAAAATATTTACAAAATTATACAGTTTAAGAAAAAACTCTGTACAAAAAAATATATAAATCCTTTTGATCCCTCTCTCCTTTTTTAAGTTGTCAGGACTCAAGACATGTTTGCTGCAATGGACTTCTCAAGATACACACTGTGTCACAGACATTAAAACCCCTGGAGGTGATGGGAGAAGAGCAAGACATTCTTGTAAGTTCATGGGGTGGGTTTCTCCTCCAATTCTTCATGCCTGGAATTTAGTCTCAGCATTAGCAGGACAGTCCTAATTCTAGGAAGAGGAGAGGTTTGGAAAGAGACAGAATACTGGAGACATCCCCTTCAGTTGACAGGAAACAGGACATGACACAAGTTGGACACCTCACCACAGCACAAGGACAGAGTCAGCAGGGCTGAGCCCACAGGGTGCTCAGCCCCTGCCCTGGCCACACTCAGAGCCACAGGCAGGCAGAGGGTTTGGTAGATGCTGTCCCTCAGCCAGGAGTTACAGGGCCTACACTGGCAGCCATTCAAGAGAGAGGAGTGCTGTGCATGGCCACGGTGCTGATTTTGTGTGGAAATGCACAAAAGAGGGGTCGAGGAGTGGCCAGGGCAAGGGGGCAGTCGGGGCAGGTGCTGCTGGGTGTCCCAGCCCCAAGGCACAGAGCCCAGAGCCAGCCCAGCCCCAGAGCCAGCACAGGCCCTGCTGGGTCACAGGGACAGCACAGGGGCACCGAGAGAGGACACCCAGGGCACACCCACAGCACAGCCAGCTCTCAGCAGCCCTGGGACAGCACAGGGGCACTGAGAGGGGACACGGGCACACCCACAGCACAGCCAGCTCTCAGCAGCCCTGGGCTGGGACACTGGACCCTGCTGTGGGGCTGGCTAAGCAGGACACCCCAGTCCTGTGGGCTGAACCCCACCCTGCTCTAACCCACCCTGCTCTGAAGCCCAGGGCTCTGCCTGGAACACAGCTGGGAACAGCCAGAGGAGAGTTGCTCCTGGCTGGGAGACAGGGGCCAGTGCAGCTGCTTTTGAGGAAGACTGGAACTCCTTCCATTCTTGCTCACAAATACTGAAATGCAATAAACAGCCTGACCTACACCGAGCCTTACACTGAAATGACAGAAGGAAATCAAGAAGGAGTGAAAATCCACTCCAGTGTGTGCTCCCGCTGATGTTTTCTGTGAAGCAGAATTTGGAGAAACAGAGTGAACTGGACAATGTTACAACAATATCCTGTTAAATTGTTTCTTCCACCTCCTCTCACAAAAAGCAGCACAACAAAGAGATAGTGTGGCTGCCACACATACTGAAGTAAATGATTTAAGAATCTAACCACAAATAATTCCTACAACATGAGACTCCACAGGAAATAAAATGCTCCCTTTTTTCAACGAGCAAATGAGGCCAGTTTTTCTTTCATAATATTTAATGAAAGTTTGTCTTTCCCCTAACCTCTTAATATTGCTAAATAAAACCTGTAATATCTTTTCAATTATAAACTAACAAACCAATCACATTATAAAAAACCCAAAACAAAGTAATACAGGTGACACAAAAAGAGGACAAGAAAATACTGATTTCCAACCCCCTCCCCGCTTTTTATCCTTCTTAAATAGAAAAAGATCACCACCTTGGTGAGCTTGATAATCTTGTAAGAAGTTCCTGGGCCTTTGGCTAGCTCAGTCTCACAGCTCTGTGTCCCAAATGTTTTCATACCAAACTGCTCATGGTAAATTTTGTGGTTTGAAAAGAAAGTAAAGCTCTTTTTGGCTCATCAACTTCCTTAAATAAACGTTTAAAAGATGTAGTTTGAACTATATTCCTAAAATTATACATTTCCAACATCAAGTTTCATCTTCTCCAAGAACGGGATTCATCCTCATCTTCATCATCATCATCATCATCTTCGTGCAAAAATAAATCTGAGGTTTCAGTCTCCTGCAGGAAGAAAAAAATGAACTTTCAGACACAAGCTGCAAGCTCTGCCCAGGGACACAGCCCAGCTCACAGCTGTACTGGTGTCTGGTGTCAGCGCGTCTCTCTCAAACTCACACAGTTACATCCAAACAGCAGGGAAAGAACAGCAGCCTTGTGTCAGAAAAGAGAGAGCAAAGCTTCAGAGGAAGCAGGAATAAACCACCACTCACCCTCTCCCAAACAAGGTTTGTTAAATGCTACAACAAAATAACCTTTAAAAGCTTAAGGTGTTAAGGTGAATTACAGGGAAGAACACACAACTTCTCCTAGAGTAGAGCACGAAGAGTGAGAAGCAAAAGGCTTTGCAGCCTGCACATACAGAACCTGAGGCTTGTTTACATCACTGACAAATTAACAGCCCATCCACAAAGTGCCTTTTTTCTCCCCATTTTCTCTGTTTTAAAATGTTGCAAGTGTACCTGACTATTCAAAACCAGTTCAGTTCCTGGTTTGTAAAAAATTACGAAGTTTCTTCAGCACACAGGAAACTGTATGCTAAGAGCTCTCAGCTATTAGATTCCAGCAAGAATGACCAGGTTATTAAGAGATTTCCATACCTCTTCCTTGGGCTCCTCTTCCTCGACTTCTGTGGACACAGAGGGTACCTTGGGTTTGTGCCACGAGATCTGGAGCCGCCGGTCCTTGAAGCGGGATCCCTGGTTAGCAGCCTGAGTCGAGTTCAAACGCACAGATTTTCAGAGAAAGGACCAAGCAAAGAACTTCTAACATCAGCAACAGCCAGACCCACAGCATGTGGTACAGAGGCATGTCTGAAGATCTCAAATATATAAATCACAATCACCCACTTCAGGGTTCCAAGAGTAACTTCAGCCACACTCAAATCTGCCAAATCCTGCTCCTTCCCTGGCAGTGAGAGGATGAGCAGAGCTCTGAACTGCCAGGGACAGGCAGCTTTGCCAGGGAAAGCCCTGTGTCACTGCTCACACCACCAGGAGGTACTTCCCCTTCAGCAGCACTACCTGCAGCAGCACCAAGCACTATCAAGCTCAAACTGGGGGATCAAAGCCTCTGAAATTTTAAAATACAAAGGTAGACAAAAGTAGTTAAAAACTCTTATTTTAGATATGTGAAAAAATATATCCATGAGTCTACTTACATTCTCAGCTTCTGAGCGGGACTTAAAAGTTACAACAACACTTAATGGGGAATCCTCTTCCTGAAGATCTTCGATATCTCCAAATTTCTGTGAGGAAAAGTTCATTAGGACCAGCAGTAATGTTCTCCTCCACTTCCATAATCATGGTACAATTGTAGTTACTGAAATCTGATTTTTTGGACAGAAAAGTGAGAGCCAGAGAACTCCCAGCTGCATCAGCCATCATTATTGTAGCAGTTGTATTTTTCGGCAAAAGCTCAGACTTATTGCTATTGCAAGACAAGCTTGATTTTACAGCAGTAAAGGAAACGTGCATTAATTTGCAGGCCACACTTACAGAGAAGTGCTGTAACAATTCATCCTTCTCCTCCTCCACGAAGCCTCCCACGGCGAGGGCCTTGGGCCGGTGATCCACCACCATGTGGTTCAGCATGGCCCGGCCTCTGCCCCCACGGCCGCGGCCGCGGCCCCGGCCCGGGGCTGCCACCGCCTTCCCTCGGCCAGCAGGCAGGATGCCCAAGCGGGCAGCCTGGGGAAGGAACAGAGCCCGGTGAGAGGAGCTGGCACACCCAGCACCCACAAACTCACTAACAGCAGCAGCCAGAGCAGCTCACCTCCACTTGTAACTGATTGAGCTTTTTGCGCAGCTCGGTCGTGTCCTCTCCAGAGGACAGTCTCTTATGGAAGTCCAGCTCTGCATCCAACAGTTCCTTCTGTGCCTGGCGGAAAGAGGTGGGAACAGAAAACAGAAGGAAAGGGCAGAACTGTAAGGCACAGTTGTAATGTTTTATTCCACTTCAGCAGTACATTCACGCAAATGATACAGACAGATCAGGACACAATAGCCAAACTTTTCTCTCAATTCAGTTTTGTTTTAATTCCCTCTGTGTGTGTGTGTGGTGCCCCCTGTTTTTTGAAGGGCCCAGAATTCTCTGCTTTAGAACTGGAACAAACATGAATGAGCTACAAGCAAAATTAGGTCATGGAGTTCCTTCAACCATGGCTTGTTTGTCCATGGTTATCACTCACATTAAAATGCTGCTTGCAAGTGTTTTGATCTAATGCTGTTGCATTTTTAAGACACATTAAAAGAAATAGATACAAACACCAAGGAGGCAAGTGTGTTGCATAAGAAATACCTCTGTTTTGGACTTCAATTTAGATGGTGTGGAGGTTGCAGATGAAGTTTTTAATTCATCCTTTAACTGAGATATTTTTCCTGTTAGTTCTTTTAAAGTCTTCATAATTTCTGCTCTCTCTTCTGGTTTCATGGCCTTGTTTTTCTCCAGCTTGGATATCAACATCTATACAATAATAAAAGAACAGGAACATAAAATTTCAGGAAAAACAGCGCTCAACAGACAGGTATGTACAAAATCAGAATGTATTTATTAGCCACATCCCAGACTTACCTTCTGGCATTCTATTTGTTTTTCTAACATCTCCTGCTTCTTTTTCCTCATATCTTGCTGGAGTTTCATTGCCTCCTATAAAAGGAGAAAACTCTTTCCATCAGTAAAAAGCAGCCTGGCATTGTATGCACTCATAGAGGTCATGTATGTACTCAAAGGGATCATATTGTCCCCTTCAGGCTATGGAAGTGAAATCCACAACCAAAAGTACTGTCTGCAAAAAGCACAAGTATGAAGTGCAGCTGATTCAATAAATATAAAATAAATAACATCCTCATTTCCTGCTGCAAGGTACTTTACTAACATTTTTCCCCTTTCAGACACCTCTTAAGAAACATACTGTGTGCACTGTCCTGCAAGTGTCTCACACCTGCAGAGATTAAATCCACATAACTCCAAGCAAACTCAGAAAACCCAACATGGCCAAGAGCATCAAGACAACCCAAAAGGACACTCCACACGTGATTACCCCAGGTGTGTTTGCAAGACCACCCCGTAACAGGGACCAGCTCCACACCCACATATAAAGCTGTTGAGGACTGGTTGAGGTTTCAGGTGCCCGTCAAACCTTGCATTCAAAGCACTTTGCTCCTTACACTGTCAGGCAGCCATCCAGCATTAAGTACCTGTTTTTTTTTAAGGGCTTCTTGCACGTCATGAGGCTTAGACCCTGCACCAGACTTCAGAGTTGTCTTCAAGTTTGGAGAACTGTAAACCATTTTTGAGTGGCTTGTGGAAGTAGGAAATATCTGAAATAGTAAAAAACACTCAGTAAAATATGGAATATTCCAAAGTGACCATGATATACCAGCAGGGAACTTCAGCAGATCATGTGCCCTGTAACCTCAACTCAGATGTTCAGATTTGTGCAAGGAGGCAGAAAGACCAAGGCAATTAAAACACATGGATAAAGATATCAATCCAGTTAAAAGGATTTCTGAAAAAGAAATCCTTTCCTGCTCCATGGCAGACTCCTTTTGTATCTTGATTCCCACCAGGACACCACTGAAGGTGATGAGCAGCCCATGCCTTAGTTTCAGTCACAGCCCAACATCTTACTTCTGATAAAGCAAGATAGCAAAAGGCACTCCATGCTTCCTTTCTGAAAAGGACCTCCCCATGGCCCAAAACACATGCTGCACTTGGTATCAATGTGAACACTTGGTATCAATGTGAATTGAACACTTACTGGCTTGAACTCTGGGTACAAATACTCTCTAAGCTTCTAGCACTGCTGTTAGAGCACAGTGAAAGCTCAAAAATTACTGGGAGAGCCATTAGATTTGTCAGCAAAAGGCTGGTCTCACAGGTTGTCAGACTTGTTTACTAACAAGCACTGCTAATAATATTTCATGCTATTTACAATACTGGTAGTGTTGTAGTTGATAGTTCCTAAAGTCATTGTCCCTATTCCATATAAACAGTTGATGAAACGAGGAAGAAGTGACTGACCATGGCTGCACAAAACATTACTGAAAAGGAACAGAACCAAGCCGGAAGAACACATGAGTTCTCTCTGCTTGTTCTTCCCTGGCCAACAAGCTGCAGCTGTACCCGAGAGCATGACCACGGTCACTCTGAACATACCTGAGACTCCTCCACGCCAGCCCCGGGCTGGCTGAGCTCAGGCTGGCTCCCACCCGCCGCTCCAAGGCGCCTTTTCACTGGGACTTTGTTAAGGACGTAGGCACCAGATGCCAGGGGTTTGTTCATCACCTGTGTGTGCA